CGCCGCCGCTTCCGCCGCCGTTTCTTCTGACGCTGTCGTATTCGGCTAGGGTTTCAGTTTCAGTGAGCTCTATGAGGAGCCCGACATAAACACAAAAACCAAAAAAGAAAAAAAGTATCTCAGGACCGTCCGATCAGTGCATTTGATTTCACCTGTTCGTTGTATATAATTAGAGGAGAGAAAGCGAGGGCCGTTGGATCATTGCGGCTGCTGTAGCTATGGCGAAGGGAGGTTACTTCTTGGAGAAGGTTCGCAGATGCGTACGGACTGTGTTCTTCATGGTGGCGATGGTGGCGTCGCTGCTGGTGTCGTCGCTGCCGTTGCTGGTGGCGATAGGGGACATGTTGGTGCCGTGCGTGTTGATTTCGAGCTTCACGTGCGTAACGTGCTACGGATTCAAAGAGCATTTGCATCGATACGCCTTCAAGAGCTCGCTCACCGATATTCCTCTTGTTTCCTTTATCAGATCTCTCATCATTACCTGTATGTACCTTTCTATCTTACTCCCTCTTTTTTTGAGCTCAATTTTTTTTGCCAATTTTGGGTTTTTTTTGGTAATGGAATTTTGATATATTCGAGTGCTATTTTTTTCTCTCTCTCTTCAAATATCTGTTTGGAAAGGGAAACCGTTCTTGAGGCAATGATTTGCATTCGTCCAAATATTTTCTTCATTTTTCTATTGTTTCAAGCTTGATAGTTGATGAAAAGAGAGAAATTTGATAATTTTTGTTATTACTCTGAGCATGAAAACAGTGATAAATAGTTTTTTTAAAAGTAAGCTTATTCTATTATGGTTTTTGTTCCTTAATAATCAGAGATTACTTGAGCAAAATTTGTACAACAAGAGGCAAGCAAATGAAACTTCTAATGTTTTTTTGTTGATCTGATAACTTGGAGAACGTAAAAGAAAAATCAGCCAAAGAAAAAATTGATGACTTTTGCCCAATCAAGTGTAGGTTTTTGGTTTGGTGGTCTCAAATAATAAATTTCCGTAAGATTCATAATTTCATAAGTTTTCTCAGTAAATCATGTGCACAAGTTGGATTTTTCGGCTTCCGACAGTCCCTATGTACTCTGTGGACTTACATATGAATGAAATGAGCATGTAGTCAGTGCCATGCAATTTCAAAAGATTTGAACTTACACTTCCTATGTTTGTAAAAAGTTGCCGAATATCAGCTTCTGGTGGATGTGAGAAACAAACATGAAGCATCCAACTTAATTTAGCTTTAGTTAAGTATTTGACTTAGTTTAGTTGAGTTTTCAATTTTTCTGCGATGCATAAAATCCTTTTTGTTTTATTTATTTATTTATAAATTGTAGCCAAGTTTTCTCAGTAACCGTACAAAAGGGTTCTTAGGATTTTGTGTTTTATGTTGGTCTGAATGCTTGAAACCCAATCTTCTCTTTTAATGATGGCTATATGACCTTACTAATAGAACTTGATGAACAGAGTAGTAATATGAATGAACCTTCCTTTTTGTGATAGTTATTTCAAATGTTTTATTAAATTTGAGTATATTACAAACATGCTCATGTGTAGTTTCATGATTGCAGGTGTGTATTCCATGTGCGATGGCCCTGCTCTCTCACACGGTCCATACCTTGGAACTGTGACTTTCTGTTCCTTTATCTCAATTCTTCTTCTTTCAGTTAAAGCTTGTCTTTTCACTGTAAATTCTCAAATAGAGGCTGAAGCTTCGTCTTCCCTCTCAAGGCAGAAGCTCCATTTAAAGAAGTCATGGGGAATGCCTGTCTTGTTTCTCTCATCAGTAGTCTTTGCCC